ACTAATTTAACCCCGCCACATATTGTACATGTATGTGCTGTCCCTATAGTGAGGAGCCTGTAATTCAGTGGTTGTCGTTTGTTGCTGTATGTCATATTTATTTTCGTTCATTGTTTTTTACATAAATCAGGTCGTTAGTTTTCTCGTTTGAATTGTTTTACATTTTTCATTTCGGGGCCTTTTATAGCTGACTACTTTTAGTATATGGTATGGATTTTGCTCATTGATGGAGGCCGACCGGTGATCTATAATTGTACAATTTCTTTGTCATTCTAGTATCTTGTGGAGAGTTTTCTCATTGGCAATCATACCTCATCTTCTTATTTTTATATAATGAATGATATCCAACTTATGAAAAGAAGAAAAACATAAAAAAACATTGAAATAAGGATTGAAGTGACACTCGATATCCCCTCTCCCGGAATATTAGTGTCATTAGTGATAACAAGAATTTTTTGTCTGACATAATGTCGGCACATATCCTTTCAAATTTTTTATTGTTTGTCTGTGCACAATTATATCATTTATCTACGGTATAATTATATAAGATAAAGTGATAAGATTAAGATAGTATTTGTTGTGTTTGGATTTCAACTGTGATAAAACAGGATTAATTTTCTTGATTTGCAAGTTCTGAATTTTGAATTTTGAATTATGAATGATCCTTCTCGGCTTTCGTAAATACTATTTATAGTTTTATTGCATTTAATAGAAAATGGGGATACAGAAACGTACCGTCCAGGACTACACTAACCAAGCAACCTTCCTCCTCCACATATATGCATGGAAATTCAACAGTAGTGTGATGTGTATTGTATTGACAAATTGTTAGTAGACTCAATATATTTGTAAAGTACATGTATAATAAAAATCATGTAGTTTTATGAATCGTTCACTGTGTCCAATTTCAAAATTTGATGTAATACTACTAAGTTTCGCTAAGCCTTAATTAATGCATTTTCCTGTGCAAATTTATGTTTTAATACATGACTTGTTATATTTAAGAATATAGTTTGTGTCTGATTTAAAGTTTATTGTTCATAATTGGTTGAATTATACTATTAATTTTCCCTCAACTTAAAGCATTTCAAGATTTTCTAGAGTATTAACTATTAGTGCTTACATTGTGCTTACATTGTTTATAAAAAAAAAATCTGTTGTTTCTATGATACTGTTTTAATCATTGGCTCTTTAGTTAGAATCTATAAAGTTTAGATTTTCCGTTTCCGAGTTATCGGATTTTAATTGAACTTTGGTGATTGGTTTATATTTATTAAAATAAGCTACCTTTAGTTTTTTTTGTTTTTTTTTTAATTCCAAATGTGACTTTGAGGAGTTATGAAACTCTATTTGTTCTAAAAGCGACGGGCGTATCATGTACACATGGCAAATCTCTTTATTTTAATAAAAAATGAAGAATTGAGATGACAATTTATGTATTTTTGATAGCTTTTTTCTTTATTTTGCTACATTACTTAAGTTTAATGACAACTTACGTTAGAAACCTTATATTTAGAATTAAAGAAGCAAACCGATCATCTATTATATGTCACATACCTTATCTTGACTATGTAGATATTCAAATGTTTTTGAAGTTCCTCTGTTTCCGTCTTGAAGGAGTGTATACTACATCCATCTTTTATTCATATCAATTAGCTTTGATCGGTGTCGACCCGCTATTCTGACAACCAATTGGTCCGACACCTCATTTGGCAAACAACCAATTAGTCCAACACAGGTCGTATTTAAAAAGCTTCTTTATAGAATCGGTAGACGTGGTGTTTGACCTAGTGTCTACCATCTGGTTTGTACGCAATACAATATCTAGCTTTACTACATGTAAATAAAACTACCCCGCTAAAAAGATAACTTGATTGATTGATTGATGTTTGTTTTACGTTCAGTGGCAAACATTTCATGAATGTTTAGAACGAGAACAAATTAACAGTTAATAGAAAAGGTAGGTCTTGTACTATGGAAATTTCTGGGCTGAAGTTAGCGAAATTGAAACTGCACTGGAAAATTATAACATATTGGAGAGAGACAGAATAGTAGTCTTGCCAAAGGCTACGAACCCTTCAAAGAGTTGTTGTAAGGAATCTTTAGGTGTAGAATACGTGACAATTTCTCTACAAGAGACATCATATGTAATGTTCTTATTCTGACCGGACGATAGTATTTGTTTTTATTGAGTACTTCATTAAGGTTAAGTCAACGAAAAAGGACGATATTTGCCAACAAAGTATCAATCGTGTTAAAAAAGCTGAGAGTGTTCTCTGAAAGCAGGGATTTAGACTGTGTATGGCATATGCATTAAAATCAAACGCTTAAAAACTAAATACTACTTTGTCGAGATTCAGTTTCCTTCTATCTAATCAACTTATCGTTTAACGGTCAACATCTCTATCGGCTGAACAGAATCAGTAAACACAATGTGTGTAAATAATTCTAAGCAAACACAAAAGGTGAATGATTCAGGATAAAATGAAAGTGCGCTTGCAAATACCAAAGTCGTTTATTTGATACGACCGAAAAACCATGACGTCCTCGTGAACTACGCGAGACGAGCACAACATCACTAATAGGATTGTACACATATCTGGAAATAACCCTGAGTTTTAACAGAAAATCCAAAAAAATAGGACAAGGTAGCAGTGGCAAACTTTTCTATTCAGACATGGAACACGATATTGTTTTATACTAAATTGGATGAGGATATATCAACATAAGAAATGTGTAGCGTTTGATTATTACTTACATTGTTGTAAAATCGTAAATATTTTGAAAATTGTATCTGTCTGTGCTAATCTCTAAAATTATCATCAATATTGTTAACAAGTAAGCCTATTCGGGTCTGAATGTTTATGTTTCGTTCGCATTGTGAATGTCAGATTAACGTTCAGCTGGATTTACATTGGTGACTTAATTCCAAAATAATCTTTAACCTTAGTTTGCTTGATATCATTTGATTTTCCTATCAGTTCTTTCTGACCCCAAGGATGACTAGGGTATATATATATAAGGTCATATCTCTTGATATTATTCCAACCGACAGTATAACCCTTGCCAAAGTAAAGCGTCCATTTGGCTATTCGGGATATTTAAATTGACAGCGTCTTCCGGTCAGAATGAGAAAGTACAATCCGATACCTCTAGTTGCTCTTTAAGAACCCGTACAACAACTCTTTTAACGGTCCATAAGTGACCTGTTGAAAAGGCTAAATATCTTTCCCTGTCTAATATACTCTCGTTTTCTAGTAGCATTATAAATCTCCACCCTTCATTCGGACGACCCCTATTTCAGAACTTACTTAGTATATGTATGGTTAGTTAGTTCTCATCATGAACATCCTTGAAATATTAGCCACTGGACGTTATGCAAACACCAAACAATCAATATTTGTTCTTTTTGAACTTCTTTGCTCTAGCTCCTTACATATAAGGAGTAGTTGCGTGTTCCTGTGACAGATACAGCTATTAAAATATCAAATAGTTGTTGATCCGTTAGGATCTGTAGTATTTTTTCATAGCAAAGAAACATACAGATTATACTAAAAACTCCAACAACCGTATAATCTCATCGTTTGTAAGCTCAAGGAAATCTATTAAACGATTTTATGATAATTCTATTGTAATTTTATTCCGCCCTATTTCTATATACCAGTATATATTTAGTTAACTCATATACTTGGATATAGTCAGTAGATTCCCTACGGGCCATCACTGATCATGAAGAGTATTACTCTAAACCATTGAACCAGTTTACCCACGGTTCAAAAAAGAGTGAAATAACGACAGAAACACTCCAAGACAAGTGTTCGGGTGAATGGGATGTCGGACTATTAGACTGTGGGACTTATGGTCGGTCTAATGGGGTGTCTGGATATCGTGCTGCTCCTTTGCGATGTCATGAGAATATCCATACACGCCTTTTTACTACAAACAACTTAAAACATAGTCACTTGAACAATCAGTAACAGAAAGTTTCTAATTATTTAGAACTAAGGCAGGTGTCAGTCAAACGGGAAGTATTTTTACACTTTAATTCAGTTGCCGTACATCGTAGATGATTTTATAGCTGATTTATTACCAAACGTGTATCACATATAAATAAGGCCAGTATCAAGACATGGTCTGATTATCAAACATTCATTGCAAAAGTGTGAGAAATCCTCACAATCTTGAAACTAACCCTGTTTGTTACGTTTTATACTAAGCATAAGGTTTCAGGCCATAGAAATGTTATATTCATATTTCACCAGCAGGTTTTAATCAGGAAAAGTGCGTTTTCAACCTAGTAACTGAATTTAACATATGCATGTTAACCGATTTTGAATATTAATTCTTCTAAAAAAAAATATCGGAACACCTATATTTTGTTTTTGTTTAATGATTGGTACGGAATGATAATCTACAAATCTTCCGAGAAGTAACAATCAAAAGACTACCTTACATTCCTGACCCAAATAATGTTTTGTGATTATAATGCCAATTCATTTTGTTTCCGATATACAAAATATAAGTTATTGTGTCAATAATATTTGTATCATATCATTACAGAATTTAAACTATCCGTTGCAATCGTGTCAATAAAAAGATTAACTATTCAGTTAGTATCTTCTTTTTAACTAAATTATGGTGTCACTGTTCTGTGGTCATTCAAATCTTCTACAATATCTGTGATTTATACAGACAATGAAAGAATAAAACCTTCAGTAAAGTTGTTATCAACTTGGAATTCAGTACAATTATTTCATATGCTGTGAACTTGTACTTGTTTCATGGTTCACTGATCATAAACATGTAACAGTAATGAATACATTCTTTGAGGTTAAAGTGTTTGATTCAGGTATTTATCCATGAATTTGTGGTCACATTAACTTAAAACTTAGCAGACATGTTCATTGTGAACATAGTGAAGTGAGCTTTTAATAGTATATACCAGCTAAAGATTTTACACCTAAATCTTGAGTAACTCTTGTTAAACTCTTTTTGTATAGGTATTACCGAAGTGTTTGCTATTTATGCAGTCAAAGGATCAACTGGACAATTGGTATGTCCATACACCAGTAAAGTAAGACTGCGATGGTTTTTCAAGTTCCCTGGATTAGCTGAGTTTACAATTTATTCAGAAAATGGGGAAATATCACCTCATTTAGCACCGGAATTTAAAACATAGACTGAGTGTAACTGGTAACCATGCGATAGGACAATATCATCTGAACATATCTAACATTCAGGAGAGTGATCAGGGGATGTATCAATGTATTGATGATAAAGTTCAATCAGATACACAAGAATTGATTGTTATTGGTTAGTACGTTTTAACTTGAAGAGATGAACCTAAATATCCATAAAACTATTAAATGATTTACTTAACGACTCACAACAGAGACTGGGTGTTACAGGTAATCATGATAAAGCGGAATACCATCTGAAAATATCTGATATCTAGGAGAGTAATCAGTAGATGTCGGCTGTTTGGTTGGTTTTTTCTGGTAACAGAAATTCACAATTGTTGTTCCATAGGACGTGAAGTCCATATTTCGATACACATTAAAGAAGATGTATGATTGCTAATGAGACAACTCTCAACAAGAGACCAACTGACGCAGAAATTAACATTAATTTTATAGCTCACCGAACAATAAAACCTATACTGCATAGTCAGCTATAAAAGGCCCCGAAATGGCAAATGTAGAACAATTCAAACGAGAAACTAACGGCCTGAGGTATGCACAAAATAGTGAACAAAAGCAAATATGATATACAGCAGCAAACGACAACCACTGAATTACAGGCTTCGGACTTGGGACAGGCACATACTAAATGTGACGGGATTAAACTAGTTTGAAAGCGGACCAACCCTCCCCTAACCTAGGGCAGTGGTGTAACGGTTTATTGTGGCTATTGCTACATTTTAAATCTTAAAGGTAAAATAGTAAACATTTATGTTGGAGTTCCTAGAAGTTTTATGTAAACATTGGGATTACATGTATGTAGGATTATGTAGGGACAACATTTAACTTATGAACCTAGGTAAATACAGGTAAATCTTGAAGACGAAAATGACAAGCTGCTTTCTTTAAAAAAAAAGAAAAGCAATACGTGAACATAAGATCGCTGGTCGCCAAAAGATTGTTGCTCAATTTTTGTTTGCTTTTGAACTGAAATAATTGACTGTGAATAGAAGAAGATAATGATGATGTAAACTACCTTTATAAAAACTATGTAATTGTGTTTCTCTAATTCTATGGAAATTTATCCCTTTCCGAACCCATTGTATAAAAAAATTTAATCAACGTGTGGTTGCCGGTGATCTCAGAGGATGATTGGATGAGTCTAAGGGTCATAACCTTTATCAGCTCAAAATATGCTAACAGGTGTTAATGAAATTGACAACTTTGTAAAATGTGGAAGGCACTCGAAGGGGGTTTTGGTTTAACAAAAAATGAAAATGTATTTTTTAATCATTAGAGAAACAGATTCTTACATTGTTACTCGTGAATTATCGGATTTATCCAATCTCGATAGTTAAATTGATAATTTAACTATCTCGATTGGATAAATCCGATAATCAACTAGTATCAATGTAAGAATCTATATGTACATTCTTGCACAAGTCAGTTGAAAGCAATGATGGATAGTTGTGAATATAAAAGTGTATATATACAGCTACTACTTGAATATACATTTTAAAGCTCGGCTATTTTATTTATTACCTGGGAATATACATAAATTTTTCAATACCCTTTTGCAAATCCCAATTTCTACAAACCAGATGTCTAATGCAAATTGCACAAACCACGTAGCAATATAAATTTAACCACTCAGTTTGCTTTATAATCTGGATGCATTTATATTATCTGTCATATCTTTATATTTTGTTGCCTGCATGGAGGCCTTCTAATTCTCAACTCATTATTGAAGCTGTATGAATTCATGGTAGATGTTGTTTAGATAAATTCAAAGTCCAACTTCCGTTTGAAGTGAAACCCTGTGGCATGCAACTTATAAGAGGGTTTCGAATATTTTCCTAAGAGTAACACACTAGCTTCATTTGACCCTCTTATATAGAGACTTATTTAAGTCTCATAAAACATATCAAATTTTAAGGATTTTTTAATTTTACTTAAATCAATCCAAATATTCTACAGAGAAACTTGGTTTTGAAGAACATTTTATTTATGAAGTTTCACGAATACCTGAACATACTCTCAAAAGAAACAATTTATATAAAAGATTTGTAGATATAAAACGATACCAGGATTAAAATGTTGAACGCCAGACGCGGTCCAGTTAAGTCAACAAAGAATCATCAGTGACTCTCGAATACAAAAATTTAAAAAGGCAAAGTTAAGTAATCTATTCCTTGGGTATAAAATCCTTGGCATTTCGGAATTGTCACAGTTAATAATAGGACATTAACTCAAAAAAAGAAAACAAAATAGAAACAGCTAGAGATAAGAATACCGTAAGTTACATGATGACCGTGCTTGAAAGTCACATGTCAATCTCTTACTGCTGTGTCTTGAATTTAAATAAGAAAAGCGAAAATTATCATTCACGAGTGAAATGAATATATTTTATGCATGCACGTGGTATTTTTGTCTAAGAAATAGTAAATAGAAAGCATACGCACTGATACTCTGGATAAGAATACGCATTTGCGTCATCGCATATATTAATATAATAGTTGAATTCGGATGTCAAACTACCTACCTCAAGTGTTTTGACTCCGGAATCATTGATATTTTATCAGGAATGTTTGCGATACTGGGCGTGTGGACAGGATGATGTATAATATGAATGAATCATGACGTGTATGATAGCTGGTCAACACAATGAATACAATTTTCAAAACTATACCATAGTACAAATATTTAGATGCTATAAGGTTGAACTATTAAAACAAACAAATAAAAAAAAGAATTGAAAATCAGAAATTGTATTATTAAAAAAACATTCCTGCTAGTGAACTTTTTCCGAAAATTTAGAATATAATACCAATAAACACAAACGTCGAGTATTTAGTGATGGACATTGTATTTATCAAATGCATCTCTTTAATAACATAAGCAACACGACGGGTGCCACATGTGGAGCAGGATCTGCTTACCCTTCCGGAGCACCTGAGATCACCCCCAGTTTTTGGTGGGGTTCGTGTTGCTTAGTCTTTGGTTTTCTATGTTGTGTCATCTGAACTAGTATTTGTCTGTTTGTCTTTTTATTTGTGGCCATGGCGTTGTCAGTTTGTTTTCGATTCATGAGTTTGACTGTTCCTCTGGTATCTTTCGTCCCTCTTTTTTAAAGTCTATCATTCGAATATATGAATATATTGCTTTACAAAATATTAGCAGAGACTTATAAATTCATACTTAAACAGCATAAAACAATTAACATTATGATAGTTATTAATTTTGTTATAATTATTGTAAAATAATAATGACGTTTTTTTTGTGAGATGCAAGGATCTAAAATGCATGTGATTTGAAACATATTTTGTCATTCACGACCGTTTAAAACTTAGATATTTAGCTAACTTTGGGTACGCATCCCTTCTCAGTGGTGCTCATACATTACATATAATTTTCATAAATTTAATAACTGTTCAAATCTGTGAGACATTATAATGCACGTATACAATACAATTTTAATTATATTCTATTAAGAATAAAATCAGTCTCAGTTTAAACTTAACAATGAATATTCTCTTAGTCTGGTAGTATCTAAATTAGAAATATTTTTTACAGAAAAAACCCTTTTGTTTGATTATCTTTCTGCCTTCCGACCACTGTGTTTCCGACCTAAGATAAATATTTTAAACAGAAAAATCGTTTTTTAAATTTTCTTTTTGCTTTCCGACATATTCTCATGCTATGATCTATACACAATAACAAATGATAAACTTCAGAAATAATCAGTTCTGGGTTCTTATATTTCAGTTAACTATTCCCAGGTTTGTTGTCGCAATGCACGACAACACGTTGTTTTAATTCACAACAAACAACGCTTAGAGGGGCCGTCTCAAAGCATTAATTATATAACTGCGTTATCATTATACTTGATATTTAATAAACATTCACATTATTAAAAACATATATGTTTTGTCAAAAGGCAAATATGTTCTTACATATAAATGATTTTTAAATGCAACCTAGTCTTTATGTGTCAATAATATTCAAAATTATAAAACGAATTCAAAGGCAAAATGTTATTCACAATCAATTGCCATTAATTAGGTACACGTGAAAACATTAATATATACAAATAGATAATATCAATTAAAATATAAATATATTAAAATTGTTGTAATGCACTAAATTTTGAATTAAAACAAAATTAATTAAAACAGAGCACCAGTACAGCTAAGCTTTGCACTAAATTGAACACACAAGAAAATACAAAGCATAAATCAAAGTGCTAGAGATGAGAAGCAGCTTCTTAATAACGGACTGGCGTCAGTTCATCATGCATTCTGTAACCTTGTTTTTAGTGTTTGAAATTTATTATAATTAAGTACTTGTTATAGCTCTTTTGATATCATATTCATTTAAAAAAAATCATAATTCATTTAATTAATGAAATAATTTTATTCGTTGAAGCTAAAGCTGAAAGTGTTTTTCACTATTAAATGCCTTCACTACCATTCTTTTAAATTATTTTTTCTAGACTTTTAAAAGCTTTTACTAGTTTTCTTTAAAATAAATTATTAATTAGACTACAAAATGCTTTTACTTCCTTTTTAATTCAGAAATTCCACTTGTATTGTACTAAAACATAGATTTTAAATGGTTAATATTTGTTAAACGTATATTTGATGAATGTGGATTTTCTAATATCCTACCGTAGTCTATAATCGGTCATAATGTTGGTTCGTTCGGATTTTGTTATTGTACTTATCACACGGAAAAACTCCGCATTGACGTCACTACGCTAATACCAGCGTACAAAATTAGTGCAGAATACATTTTTTCTACACTTCTAAATAAACAAACATTTCTAAAGATATGTTTTCATTGTAATTCTAAAGCATTGTACAAAAATGCCAATTTTCTAATGGCCGTTTCAAACCTGACTTCCGAATTCCTAAAATCATTCCAGAACTTCAGAAATCCCCTCTTCCGGCCTCCATTGCTTTGTTTACATTCCATTTAGCGTCATCAATCTTAATGGCAGACCAAACAGGCCAAGCAAATCGTATTTTTTGACGAATTTCAAAATGGCAAGCACCTTACGTCTTACGCGATTTTCCCGCGAAAAAAAACCCATCCAAATTGAAAGAAAAACTTTGGGAAACAAACGATAATCAT